TTCTTCTGTTGTCATTGTGCATGCGTGGACATCTCCCTATGTTTCTGTATATTTATATGAGATAAATGTCTTGTTACCTGATGTAAAGTGCTGCGTTGTATACCTGATTTTAATATACTATATTTACAACTGTCATCGTAGGAATGCTAATATCCATGTGCTGTAAAGCGCCTTAGAGTATTTTTTTGCAAATTATATAGAACTCTATACAAATGTTGTGTATTTATCCTTTTATAATTAGATATCAATGGTCAATACTAGTAAATTGACTCTATTCATCTTGGGGACATTTTACCGGTCTGTCAGACGTCAATACCATATGTTTAGTCCAAGTAACAAAGACAGCGCACATGTAGCTGTATAAGAATCTTGTCCTATTTATATCCATTGTCTCCAGGTTTAATGCTAGCAACAGAGGTGTGCTTTTCGCCATATGCGTTCCATTTATTTTCTTTCTGTTCTTTTCTTGTCCTGTCGCAATAACAGCAGCCAATATACAATAACCTTGCTAATCATAATATATTTTTTGTTTTTATGTTTAACTCCATTAACGAATGCTATATATACGCAATGAGGACAACATATACGTAAACAAAATCTTCCCCGTTATATGTGTATCCCGTCTTTTCTAGTCCAGCCCCGGCAATAAGGGCCACCGCTCTGGTACCTCCCTCGTAAATAGTTACTTTAGCCCCACGCAGGGGGTAGTTGCTGGCATGGAATATGTGCGCACCACCATTCTAAACACCATAGTGAGGGCATATTTTACAGAGAATTGGCTAACCATTGTTGAATAGCATAGCTTACATTTTTGCAATCGAGTTAATTGAGTTATATTGATAAACAATTATACAAGTTGGGAATACATGAAAATAGGACATGCTTTATTCTAGATATTTTGTAACAGGAAGATTAGGATTGTTTAACTTTAAATTAACTCTATGACTTAAATAAGTTAGTTTGTTATAAAGATCTATCGATGGAATTTTAGAGTATTTTTTGCAATTAGTACTCTTACCTACATGTACGTCGGCAATGAAGACTGAGATCGTGACATTGGAAATAAAGACTGTGACTTACGACAGCGGTGAGGACAATAGTATCCATTCTACCAAACAACATCCTGACCTAACTCGGCTGTTTAACTCTATGACTTACGTCGGCTGTTGAACTCTATGACTTACGTCGGCTGTTTAACTCTATGACTTACGTCGGCTGTTTAACTCTATGACTTACGTCGGCTGTTTAACTCTATGACTTACGTCGGCTGTTGAACTCTATGACTTACGTCGGCGATGAGGACGAGAATTGTCTTACTACAATTAATACCCTGACTTACATCGGCAGTGAAGACGAAGAGTGTGTCATTATACATTCCTTTCTCTTTCAGGGCGGCCGTCACGGTCCCTACCATGTCGTCCATGGCCGTCACCATACCTGTTTCATGATGTCAATTATCTTATTTTAAATAAATTTATAATAAATAAAAGGCGATGTGGCTTGAAATCTTTTAATCGGTAAATAATCCTTTAATAATTGTTTTACTTTCGTATATTATTTTCATTTCAAATCTGCAATTATAGGAATAAACTTGTTTACTGTTGTCAAAGATGAGCGTATCACATACACACACAGGTGATTGCACTTTGAAATTTGGTAATAGATGCAGTAAGCTAAAATTGGGTTACACTGCTTTATTATAATACCTATAGCAACGAACAATGCATTACTTAATTGAACTTTTGGTGTTAAGCTATACACATATCTCGTCCATACACACCGGAATATTTCCTTCTTCCTTCGTGCTTTATGTTGCTGTACATGTTCTCGTACTTTGTTGGCACCTGGTGAATTGACACAATGGCATACATATTATAAGTATTCGAAGAGAAGAGATATATTCAATGTGAAAACGACATATTTCATTAAGGACAAACTATAAGTGTGTATATCACAGTTTTCTATATCACATGAAGAGATAATATCATATATCATTGTTTTGATTTTAAACCACTGAGTATACCAATAGTCTGTACAGAAATCGTAAACTGTATACCTGCAGTACTAGTGCTAAACCCATACACGTGTGTATGCCGTATTAGCACTATCAAATACACCAATCTGAACACGACATGAGGTTGTCTTACTGCCAATAACGTAAGCTTGTCATTTACAACTATGATATGTACATTCGTCAAATTTAGTACCTCTGATTGGATTATCGATGAAAACTAGAACTTTACTGAAGTTCAATTTGTATATATATTTTAAATAGATACTTATTTCTTATAAAAAAAAAATCGATATAAAATTCAATATTTATTTTACTTAAAGTACACACATTCATTACTAAGTATCTTTATGAAAAAGTGAAATGCAATGCAATATATATAAACACTATATCAGTAACTAAATGACTCTTCAACTGTGTGATGTGTTTCTGTAATACCTCTAATGGTTCATGTGATGTGTTTATGTAATACCTCTATAAGTTATGTGATGTGTTTAGGTAATACCTCTAATGGTTCATGTGATGTGTTTATGTAATACCTCTATTGGTTCATGTGATGGGTTTATGTAATACCTCTATTGGTTCATGTGATGTGTTTATGTAATACCTCTAATGGTTCATGTGAAGTGTTTATGTAATATCTCTAATGGTTCATATGATGGGTGTATGTAATACCTCTAATGATTCATGTGATGTGTTTATGTAATATCTCTAATGGTTAATGTGATGTGTTTATGTAATATCTCTAAAGGTTCATGTGATGTGTTCATGTAATATCTCTAAAGGTTCATGTGATGTGTTTATGTAATATCTCTAATGGTTCATGTGATGTGTTTATGTAATATCTCTAATGGTTCATGTGATGTGTTTATGTAATATCTCTAATGGTTCATGTGATGTGTTTATGTAATACCTCTATTGGTTCATGTGGCGACTGGAACGGGAAATACAGGAAAAACGGTTTGTCTTTGTCGTGTTGGGAAATCACCTGTTTGTCTCGGTCAGCATAGATATACTGAAATAATTAGTATTAGCAGAAGTCTAAATAGTAAGCATAAACGATGCTGTAGTTGATTGATGTCGCTAAATAAAGAGGGAAAACAGTCGCTCTGTGCATTTCGATTTTGCTAGTGTGGCAACCTCTTGCATGAAAGTTAAGCCAACTTAACGTACATATGTAGCCATTGGAGATGAAATGGTAACATCCATGATTTGATACATAACCTGTATAATTCAGGTATACATTTGGTTTATTTGTGTTTTACGTCCTTTAATCTCTTATGGTCATTTAAGGACGTGCCAGGTTTTGGCGGTGGAGGAAAGTCGGAGTTTCTGGTGAAAAACTACCGCCCTACAGACAGTACCTGGCGACTGCCCCACGCAGGTATCGAACCCACGACCCAGTAGTGGAGGGCTAGTGGTAGCAGAAAGTGAGACGCCTTAACCATTTAGTCAACGCGGCCCCAGGTATCCATATAAGTCAAGAATAAGTTTTGAAAGTTTGACTATATATTGATTGATATATTATTCTGTCCAGAATTGGTTGATTATGTTCCAATATTAAACATTATGAAAATATTTTATTCCATTGATAGCTATTAGATTTATATATACATTGAATCAATAACATACCTTAGATAGTATTTCCTACGGAAACAATATCCAGGGGAAACATAAAGAGTTTTCTCTTTTTAAATAGAATGTAAATGTTACGGTGAAAAACGAAATTCAGTTGAATAATCTGACTATTTATCACATACCTGTTGGATCTTGTTATAGTAATACAAGCAATTTTCATACCATGAAGTACAACGTTCTGTATTGCACATGTGCAATACGGAATGTTGTATTTACCTACTAGCCTGAACCACTTTTTATGAGAATCCCCTTGTCATGGCGAACTAAAAAATTCCCGGTATTTGCAAAAAATATAAAAGTTTATACAATCTTTGTCTCTACCAAATACGGAAGGTATGTGATAAAAGCAAGACCACACACTTGTGTTTTTTTAACGAATCTGAAAGCACTCGTTTATTGCGCGGATGTATATATGCGTCCGCGCAACACACTCGTGCTGTGTGTTGTCTTGCATATATATCACATAATATCTAGGGAATTAGACTTCAGGAAAAACTTGTTAATTTTCGAAACAATTCATTACGAGACAAAACTGAAATTATTGTGCTTGAAAGTGCTGAAAAACATTTGGAACCCATATTTGATATATTCAAAGAGAATGATTAAAATAACTTCATTTTATTCACTATCTCAAATTCGCTTATCTTTCCATAATCTTACGTTCGTTGTAAAATCCTGACCTTAGTCAACACTATTTTAGGCCTTAATAGATTATTGATAAAAACGAGGAGAAATAGATCTCACCGTTGAATATGTTGTCCTGTCTGGTAAGATGGCTTCTTCACCATTTCTGAAATCATTCCCCCCGACTGGTAATGGAAAAGGGTCAAAATCGTTATTATGGTTTTTTTCCTGAATTCAAGCGCGTTGTAATTTTTTATTTAGACACAGGGTACATGTCAACACAACATTCAAGGGGCAATTTGTAACTGGATGATAACAGTTTAGATTAAAAAAAAACTGTTGTTTGATTGTCAACGAAAACATTGTTTTTACAAAATATTTTACTTCGATAAAATGGATCAAAATGCAATAAATGACATGTTCTCCTTTGATGAGATTGCAGCAAACTTTACGATATTTACAAAGGAATTTGGATGGCACTTTCAACTTTAATGATTATAAAACCCTTTTCATGCTCGGGGTCGTGGCTTAGGAAAGTTCCACCAAAGGAGTGTAAAAACCGAGGCTTGCACCATTTCGAAAGTTCCGAAAGTGGAATTTCCTATTCCATCATCACGTCACTGATGTCCAAATGTGATGTTATGCACGTGCAATGTGGTGTAAGATTAATTGCATCTTTTCCGATGATGGGGGTTAGAAAAAAACCTTCTTCCAACGGGTTATTAAAGTTTTGCCAAGGGATAGACATCTATCAATAATATCCCGAGGGTGGATATTTTTCTGTCTTACTCTTAGAGTGGAAAATGGCTATTTTTCTCTGATCTCTATACAAAATTTGTTAAATGAAATACATGCGTTGATTGTATGAACACTAAATTAGTTATCGAACGTGATCTGCTATTTTTACGTGTTAACGTGACGTCATACAATTGATATTACAGGGGGATCCATGGTGAGATAGAAATATCTTTCCCTGACTGACATGAATTGTGCGTGGATATCTTTGTCTGAGTTAGAAAACATTTTCGTGTATTTGTGTGAAGATATGAAAAGATAAGGTTTGTAGATGACTGCGCAGTGGCAGTTTCAACATGTATATTTCCAATATTCTCCAAAATTGAATAAACAAGTGGCAATAACATTTGTTGACGCATTTACTAATAGGATAGGAAAAGCATTTAAAGCGAAATCATAGATTTAGTCTAGCAGTTATAGGTGTTGTGCTTGTTATTTAGGTTAATATACAATTAGCTTATATTACATAGATGGAACAATACTGGGTGGTTTGAATACAGGAAATTAATGATTACTCCACTTACATACACTTCGGTTGTAATAATCCTCCCTTCCATTGTAAAACCCATAGAACGTGTCAAATCCCCGGAACGTGGGGGTACACTCCCACTTACAGTATCCCAGGTGCCACCTGCAGATATAAACGTGTTTACCGGCAATATTCACGAACCTTTGAAATGAGTGTACATGTTATCAGCCTTTGTTATGACGTTTTCCGAAACGGCTGACCTCTGTTACACAAAGCGGTGCCTAAACTCGAACAGGAAAATGCTTGTATTTAGTGGGTATAGTGTTCCTTATAGCATGCACACTAGTTTAGACTTTTTGTCCCAAGCATCACCGATCATACTAGAGGGACGAAACAGCTGTCTGGTACAACATGGATCAGTTTGACATGCGGTATCTATTGTAGTGTTAGCCATATATACATAGTTATATGATACAGACTATAGGCAGACTATTGCGAGTCTACTATGAAACAGACTATAACGGTATGTACTGATTGTTGTGTATTGTGTACTACGTCACGATAATTGAATAAAGCATGGCTTGACCAAACCACATGCGTTGTCTCTGTATCACGAACAACCTATGGTGAATACAACATACAACATGGTGTCAGAATAGCGGAAGATACAGAAAACCCAAGACATGTGGTAACATAAGGTTGTGAAATGACTGTTCTCGCATGACTAACCGTACATTGCTCATATACCCATCATTTGTTCCATTCGCGCAACTCCCGCACTTTCAAGATTAGACAACAATGGCGACGTATCAGGTACAGCCGCCCGAAAATTTCACGTTCTCCAAACCCGAAGAGTGGCCAAATGGCTGAAAAGATTTGAACGTTTTCTCGTAGCTTCAGAATTGATTTCGAAGGATGAGTCAATACAAGTCAACACTCTTATTTACGCAATGGGGAATGATGCGGAAGACATTTTCCATTCGTTTGCTCTGACGGTGGATGAGGCTAAAACGTTCCAAACTGTGGTAGATAGGTTCCAGGCACATTTCGTCACTCGCCGGAACACCATATTTGAAGGCGCGAAATTCAATCACAGGAAACAAAACGAGGGGGAGTCTGCAGATAATTTTATCACAGCTTTGTATACCCTCATATAACATTGTGAGTATGGAGCATTGAAAGAGGAAATGATTAGGGACAGAATAGTTGTGGGAATCCGTGACAGTAGAATGTCGGAAAAACTACAGCTTGACGCAAATTTGACCCTAGAGAAAGCGGTGACTCAGGTTAGGCAGCGCGAGGCAGTCCAAAAACAACAGAGTGTAGTCAGAGATGAATCCGGATCAGCAAACGGTTCGAGTGTAGGTTGAGATGCTATAAAGAGGGACAGAAAAATCGCCCTGGTAAAAAGAACAGCTACAAGCAAACTCAAGGGAGTCAAGGGAATAGTCGTTTTCAAAACAGACATTCAAACAAAAATCAAAGTACTCAAAGTACTCATAACTTTTATCAGAGATGTGGGAAGTCACCGGGTCATCCCAGAGAAAAATGTCCAGTATCGAATGTGGAATGCCACAAGTGTCACAAGATGGGACATTACGCCATGGAATGTAAGGCTACGGTGGATGAAGTCTACCAGTATCAACCTGAGCAGGGATTTGATTTCCTTGGAGGAATCAACGATAACTCAAGTAAACCATGGTTGGTGAGTTTGACTGTGGACGGGGCCGATCACAAAGTTGAATTTAAAATCGACACAGGAGCTGACGTGACTGCTATACCCGAGAAAACTTACACAGCAGTGAAGGGTAAGGGACATATGCACAAATTACAGCCGGCAGACAGAGTTCCTCAGGGAGCTGGACAGAACACTTTGAAAGTCATAGGCAAGTTTATAGGCGTGTTAGCTACAGATAAAACACAGTCATCTACGGAAATATATGTGATCCAAAACTTATCAAATCTTTGTTAGGCAGACTTGCTATTGAAAGGCTTAATCTCATCAAGATGATGGCTTCCGTAGAACAGTCGGACGACTACAGGAAGAAATATCCTACCCTATTTCATGGATTAGGGAAGATGAGCAGAGAATATGAGATAAAGTTACGCGATGATGCTAAACCTTTCGCGATATCCATTCCGCGCCGCATAGCGTTACCGTTGCTTGACAAAGTGGAAGATGAACTCTCAAGAATGGAGTCGCTTGGGGTTATTTCCCCTGTTGATGAACCTACAGACTATTGAGCTGGTTTAGGTGTAGTTCCTAAAAAAACACAATACCGTAAGGATATGTGTAGATCTGACTCAGCTCAACAAATCGTTAAGGAGAGAGAATCACCAGCTACCGTGTACTTAGGAAACACTCTACAGACTTACAGGCGCGAAAGTGTTTTCAAAACTAGACGCCAATAGCGGATTTTGGCAAGTCCCTCTGGCTCAGCCGTCGCGGTTATTAACCGCGTTCATCACACGATTCGGGCGCTATTGTTTCAACCGACTTCCATTTGGAATATCATCGGCGTTTAAGAAATTCGCGACAGAATATGGGTTTCGCCATTACCCCAGCAGTCCGTATTACCCTCAAGGTAACGGTGAGGCTGAGAGAGCGGTCCAAAGTATCAAGCGAGTGATAAAAACGCAAACGACCCGTATCAGGCGTTACTCGCCTATCGTGCTACGCCACTTAAGTGCGGCTTCAGCCCAGCAGAACTGTTGATGGGCAGAAAGTTGCGTACAACTTTGCCAGAAAACCCCAAAAACCTTACACCGGAGTGGCCAGATTTGGCTAAGGTTCGCGAAAAGGAGACGCGGGACAGAATGACTCAAAAATAAAACTTTGACATTTCTCGTCATGCCAGACCTCTACCTAAACTCGAGTCAGGTCAGACTGTGTGGGTCAGAGGTCATGGAGGCAGGTTCAGTGGAACGGTGAAGTCAACTGCCGGTAATGACAGATCTTATCTGATAGAGACACCACGTGCACCCGAACACATGGTTAGGAGGAACAGACGGCATTTAGTGTCCGCTCCCAATCTAATCATGGAACCTTCAGAATCACAAGACATTGAGTGTGAGTCATTTACAAACCTGTGTACTAGCCCGAGTGTACTAGTTAGGTCACAAGTTAGGCATACAGACCATCCAACAACACCAAAAGTCAGTGTGCAAACCCAGCACCATAGTTCTACTCCAGATAGGGTAATAACATATACTCGATCAGATCGAGCTTCCAAACCAGTTAACAGGATGAACTTTTAGACTAGTTGTAGTGCTTCGGTTCGAACAATGTTACAGTTTAGTAGTTTAGTAACTTTACTAGTCAATGTGCTTATTAGTCAGTTTGAGTTTATAATAGTTAGATTGGTCAGTTATTCATCCATTGCAGTATTTGTAGAAGGAATCTACCTAAGTAAGGGAGATGTAGTGTTAGCCATATATACATAGTTATTTGATACAGACTATAGGTAGACTATTGCGAGTCTTCTATGAAACAGACTATAACGGTATGGACTGACTGTTGTGTATTGTGTACTACGTCACGATAATTGAATAAAGCATGGCTTGACCAAACCACATGCGTTGTCTCTGTATCACGAACAACCTAGGGTGAATACAACATACAACATCTATTACCTGAATAGGGGCACTCACATGTGTCTGGCCGTGCGTTCATCTATATACATTCATCTGTGACTAGTTTTACCGTACAAAGCTCTGCGGTTTCTATGATTCCTATCGGCTATTTTATTCTCAGATAGAATCTTTTACCTTGTGACTCTAGAATACACATTTGTTGATCATGTCTTTTTGCACTTACTTCCCAATAATATGCGTTGCATATCCGAGCTTCTTCAGATACTCCGACAGGAATGGAGTTCCAAGGGGGGAACAGGAAGCCTGCTTTGCCTTGATGACTAAGTGCTGTTAACGAAAACTAATAAGATATAAAGGGACAATCTATAATAATTAAATAGTTATCTAAATATAGTTTATGTTAATACTTACATAAAACTCTGTCACATGATTTGAACAATGCGACACTTTATTTCTATGTTTTTACCAGTGAAGTATTACGAGGACATACCTTTCCCTCGGAATATTACTACATAAGCAAACTGCGCATTAAAGTAGTGTTATCTTTGGCGCCATATTTTAATGACGTCATGCTTGACAACACGGCTGGATAGGCTACTAAAAGCAAATAGGTGTATCGCAAAAGTGTTTGCAAAGTTCCAAAGTATGGGGTTAAATATGTACCGAATCATGTTAATAATTGTCCTCTGCATTATGACATGCGCAACATATAGGTTTACATCGTATAACAATGACACCTTCATATTATATAGTGCGAGTTAAGACTGCTAAGTACATGAAGAACAAACACATTTCAATATTACCAATCATTACCAAATAAGAGTTTTCAGATATTAATATTTTCCTGTTGGCATATGAAATACAACTCGAGTTATATTTCGAACAGCACATTGGAAATGTAATGACTAGCAATACTCACCTGAAGTCCAGATTTAAAGGGATATATACCCGTCATAAACGCATGCCGGGACCTGTTCACATATAAAACAAGCACATGTCAATGAAAGTCCGAAACAAGTAGATGTAAAATTCACAATGCACCTGTCAAACAGCGACCTGAACCAATACATGTAGATTTTACAATACACCTGTCAAACAGCGACCTGAACCAATACATGTAGATGTTACAATACACCTGTCAAACAGCGTCCCGAACCAAAACATGTAGATTTTACAATACACCTGTCAAACAGCGACCTGAACCAATACATGTAGATTTTACAATACACCTGTCAAACAGCGTCCCAAACCAATACATGTAGATTTTACAATACACCTGTCAAACAGCGACCTGAACCAATACATGTAGATTTTACAATACACCTGTCAAACAGCGACCTGAACCAATA